CGACGGTCCCGGGGCCGGGCTGCGGGTGGGCGGCTGGGGCCAGTGCGGGCAGGTGGGCGTGGCGGCGGGCGGCCCGGGAGCGGCGCCGCTCTTCTTGCCCCGCCGCCGCCGGGAGGCGCTGGAGAGGTGGCTGCCCGCCGAGCTAGCCCCGCTGCCGCTGAAGCCCCCGGAGCCGGCGCCGCCGATCGACGGCGCGTCCGCCGGCTCGGCCCTGAGCGCGCTGGGCCCGCAGCTGGGGCGGCTCTTCCTGGACCAGCCGGAGGCGGCCTTCGGGGCCACGGCGCGGCTGCTGCACGAGCACGTCTACCTGGGGGACTCGACGGACTGGGTGAGCGCTGGCGGGAGGCGGGCGGCGGCGGCTGCTCCCCGGAGCCCTGCCGAGCCGCTCCTTACCCGCCGCCCGCTCTCTTCCGCAGAGGAGAGCCGGAGGCGTCTGCGGGATGACCCGGCTTCTTCGCGCCCTGGAAGGCCGCACGCCAGGCGGCAGGTAAGTGCTTTTGGCGGGGCGAGCGGCGGGGGCGACCCCGGGACCTGCTCTCGGCCATCGAGCCTACTTCCCTGAGCCGCCCTCGGGAAGGGACGAAAGGGCGGTGGGCGTGTGACCGGCGGCCGTTCCGTTGTCCTTTCAGCGCCGGGCGGCCTCTCTCCGGCGTGGCCTCGCTGTCCCGCGACTGGCTGTCCGAGCTGCCCCTGAAGCTGGTGGCCCAATGGCTCCACGAGGACCTGGCCGAGCGGCGGCGACGCCTGTCCTTCGACGAGACCCCCACCGGCGGGGCCTTGGCCTGGCTGCCTGACGGCGCCCGCAGGGAACCCCCACGCCGGGGCTGCTTGGTGTTCCCGGCCGGGGAGGCCGCGGACCGGCTCTGTATCCTCCGTGGCGAGGGGATGGCAGTGGGGCGGTCCTGGGCGGGGGGGGGGGGGGGTGGCAGGCGCCCTCCTATTGGCGCATCTTCGGCCCCTTCGCAGTGCAGCTCTTCCTTAGCGGCCTGTGCAGGCTTCCAGGAGGCAGCCTTGAGACCCGCGGCCGGTGGCACCCTGAGACCCAAACTCCGGGGCTGTCCCGTCCAGTTCGAGCTCAACGGGGCAGTCCAACAAGTGGCAGCAGCGCACCTGGAAGGCAGCGGTGGGTACAGCGGTTCCTAGGATGGTACTGGCCCTCTGTTGCCACTACTCTTCCGGTCTTGAAGGGGGCCTTTCTGTTCCATCCATCCCAGACTTCCTGGGGGTCCGCTCAGGACATTTCTGTGGGGCCTGGAGGCGGCAGCATGGAAAGCCCCCCATACCTCTGCAGGTGGTTTGCACAGAAGCCCCCTGCTCTTCCATTGCAGTCAGGTAAGTGACCTGGGGGGGGCTGGGGTGCAGGGCTCACAGAGCTTTCTGCCGGTGGGACATATGGGGTGCCCTGGTGCTAGGGGGGGTAGGTGCAAGGGACCTCTGTCCTCCCCCAGCTCCATTGTCTCCTTGCAGCCCCCACTTACCCGGTGAGCTGTCCTTGTGCACCCTGGAAGGGGAGCTGTACCTCTGGAATGTGGAGACGGGGTGAGCAAGTGGGGCTGACTGCCTTCATGAGGGGGGCCCATACTGGAGGGCTTCCTTGGAGGCATTAAGGGGAATGTGTTGCTTAGCTCTTCTGCTGCAGGGGGGTGGGGAGAGAAAGAAGTTTCAAGCAGTTATGGCCCAAATTGGGGGGGGGGGGCGCGAGAGAATAGCCAATGGGTCAAAGAGGCTCTCCTGAATGCCTGGTGGGGGGGACTTGTTTTGCCCCTGCTGCTTCTGGAAGTCAAGGTGTTGCTTTCTTGCCAGCAGACCAGTTTTTGGCTGCGAAGGGGCAGGGACTGACCCCCTTTCCCACCAGGCTCCAACGGCTGCACCAGGACCGTGACAGCCTTTTCTTCCGGGACCCTTCACCTTGGCGCTGGAGCGAGTTTTCTGCCCACCCACGAGTGCTGACTTTTGCCGACCACACTGGCCTGAAGGGTCTCGACCAGAGGGTGAGGCTTGAGAAGGGCCCACAGGGGCCCCCTGAGCAGTGCTGCTGGTTGCCGACCCTCCTGCCTTATGAGGGAGAGGCTGCTGGGAAAGGCCCCTGGGCTGGGGGGCAGCTGTGCCCAGCTCCTGACCTTCTTGGTCTGCCCCCAGGTGTCCTCCGGGGGCCACTTCGAGCTCTTCAAGGTGGGGGCTGAAGCAGATTGCCAGCGTGGGGAACGCCTGGTCCTCTCCAAATACCTAGGCCATTCAGAGCCCTTCCACCACTTAGTGGCCACGCAGGTAACCTGGGGGGTGTTTTGGTGGGCTGTTGTGGGCACCTGTTGCACAGTCTTTCGCTGGACCAGGGGCCTCAACCTGGGACATTTCCCCACCCTCTCCACCCTCCTGCGCAGGCTCCCTGGTTGCCCCTGCCCAGCCACCATGGCTCGGCAGAGGCAGGTGGTTGGTTCCTTGGCTGGAGGGTCCCTGTGCCTAGGAAACACCCCCACCCCACCCCCCACAACCTTCATCCTCCACAGTTTTCGGTCTTTGTGCTGGACGAACGCTTCCCCCTGGTGCCTGTCCTGTGCTGGGAGCACATGATGCAGCGGCCACCCATCTACGCCCACCTCACACCTGCTGGGCCTCCGCAGCACAGCCACAAGGTGCTCCTGGGCGCCTACCACTCCCAGGAGATGCTCTTGCTGCAGTACTCAGGTGGGCATGGGAAGGAGCTCCAGCACCCTCCACTGACTCCTGGCACTGAGGCAGTCATGCCCAGTGGCCGGGGTGGGGACAGCCTGGGTGCTGCGGGACTCTGAGGTTGCTGGACTGTCTCCACAGGTGGCCACAGCCTCCCTTGCCAGCTCCAAGGGGCGCCCCAGAAGCTGCCATCCATGAAGGAATGCCTGCCCCACTTTCCTGTGCAGGTGCCTGTGAGGCAGAGTGCCCTCAGCCAGCGTCTCTCCGTCCCCACAGCAGGTAGTGGCCGGGGCGAGGAGGCGTGGCTGGGAGGGATGCCAGATGAAGGGAAATGGGTTTTGCACTCCAAGGAGGCTGCAGCCCCCCCTGCTGTAGCCTCCTTGGGTTCTGGGTTTCCTCCTTGCAGCTGCAGAGGAGAGGCTGCCATCACCGCTCCCGCCCCCCACCCCAGCCAGATCCAAGAACCGGGCTAGCCTTCCCACCTCCTTGCTAATAACATAACAGAACCTGGCATAGAAAAGGAGGTCAGGATGGGGGGCCCTCCTCTGTTCTGCAACCCAGAGCTGGCCTGAGTGCCCAGAACCACTTCCAGCTAAGCACATAAGTATGTGGGGGGCGGGGGGCGCAGCCCCTCCTTTTCCCTTGATCTACCACTTGCTTCCTCTTCCTGCCAACTTACCCAGAACCTACCTTCAGCCCTTCTGTGTGTGGTCAAACATGTCCCACCCACCCTGGTATAACATGTGATTCTTCCTAATACGCTTTGCCATCCCCACAGCCGGGTCCATGTGGGGGGGAAGCTTGTGACGACATGTTTCGTAGGAGTCACTTCCTCCCCTCAGATGGACCTCTTTTCCTGGGCTAGGCAAGGGGGGGTCCTCCTTGGGTGGTATCAGGGACCTTGTGAAAAAGATGGGCTGGGAGAAACCGTTCCAGAGGGGGGGGGGCTGTACCTGCCTAACACTGTCCCCCCCTTTCAAGCTGGCTCCAAGCAGGAGGGCAGTATATCATGTCTGACTCACACCTTTGAGCTGTCCCTCTGCCAACTAAAGCCAGTTGGGCTTCAGGAATTGGTTCCCCCCACCCCCAATCAATGGACCTCCTCTTGTGTCTCCCCCCACCCCCCAATCCAGGCATTGCAGCAGCCCTGGGCCAGCAGGACGGCATCCGGACACTGCTGGTCTTCCAGCTTTCCCAGGCCGGGGACCTCTTCTACCAGCCACTGCTCCCACAGGCCAGTGGAGAGGAGGCCGAGGGGCAGGCTCACACCGACTCAGATGCAGAGGCCAGCTCCAGGGGTGCTGTGGTGGGCAGACCCTGCCAGGACCCCATTTCTCCAGATGGAGCAAAGACAGCTTGTGCCCCGGCAGCTACAGCCCTCTACCGGCGTTGGCTGAAGGCCTGGAAGCGGGCTGCCCCGCCCACCCAGGATTGGCAGTGCCCTCCGGCCACGCTCAGTCAGGGCTGTCTCTTCAGCCACCGAGAGAGAAGGGAAACGGAGGGGAGCGCCCCGTCCTCTCTGGAGGCTTCCCGCTGCCTGCGCAAGGCCATGCAGGAAGAGCGACTCTTCTGCTCATGGGGGGATGAGGACGGGGTCCCCCTGCCTCCTGCCCCCCAGGAGCCCTCGGGGGAGCTCGACCAGCGACTGGCGGCTTCCTGGACGGGCGACTGGGTGACCTGGTGGCTGGAGAGGCTGGGCGGCACCAAGGCCCGGCGACAGCAGGCGCTGAGGGAGCAGCGGAGGCGAGCCAAGCGGTGCAGGGGGACGAGGAGCCTCTCGGGCAGCTTCACCTCCTCCACCAGCTACCAGTCAGAACTCAGTGACTGGTCGGGGGATGGCAGGGCCCGCAGGCCCCCTCCGGCCTTGCCTGCGGAGCCCCCCGTCCAGGCTCCACCCACTCTGCCACCCAGTTTCCAGGGGGACTCCCAGGAGCTGCTGTCCTCACAGAGCCTGAGTGCCCGGGGTATCCCCCGCGAGCGCCGCCAGACCCTGCGCAGGTACCTGGCTGTGCTGGATCAGCCCCCAGAGCCCCCTGAGGACCACCTGCCCGCCAGCCAGGCTTCGGGCCTGGGCAGCAGCCAGCGGGGTCCCTCCTCTTCCCAGGGCCCCCAGCTGAAACGTGCCCGCATGGGCTTCTGAGGGGGGTGGGGTGGGGGGAGGGGATGTCTTCCTGGGCAGGGCGGAGCTCTCTCTCTCTCTCTCTCTCTAATAAAGGAGTCGCTTTCTCAGCCGGGCTGCCTCTCTTGCTGTTTCGGGGGGGGGGGGGGGGGGGGTCTGCAATCCCTTGTCCCGCCGCCAGGGGCAGAGGGGCGGGAGTGCGCCTGCGCTTGGCCGAGTGGGTGGCGCCAACAGGCAATGGCGGCGGCGGCGGTGGTGAGGGGGCTGCTGGCTCGCGCCTGGGGACGCCCAGGACAGGTAGGGCGGGGGGGGGCGGCGGGCGAGGCGCCTTTCCCGGAGTTCGCCTGCGGGACTTCCCGGCTCGTGTCCCCGCTGCAGTCGAGGGTCGGCGGGCCCTGGGCGCAGCGGGGTGACCGGCCGCCGTCTGTCCGGCAGAGGGGCTTGACGGGGCGCGGGCCGGGCGAGGAGGTGGAGCGGGCGCAGCGCGCGGCCGAGCAGCCCGGCCTCACCGTCTTCAGCCGCATCCTGGACGGCTCCATCCCGGCGCACGTGCTCTACGAGGATGACCAGGTGGGCGGGGGAGGGGGGCTGCGGAGGGGGAGGGGGCGGCGCAGGAGGCTCACCCCCCTCCCTCCCCTCCCCTCGCAGTGCCTGGCCTTTCGGGACGCGGCGCCGCAGGCTCCGGTGCACTTCCTGGTGATCCCGCGCCGGCCCCTCGCGCGCCTCAGCCAGGTGGCCGAGAGCGACGCCCAGGTGAGCGGGGATCGGGCCGCGCCCGGCCTGGCCAGAGGGTGAAGCGCGGGCAGGGAACGGCCCCCGCGAGCCTCCCGCCTCCTGCCCGGTTGCTGCCTCTTAATCTCGGCTCGGAAGCCTGGCGGGGGGAGGGGCTCTGCGACCACCACTCCATCTCCCTCCCTCCCTCCCCCCCCCCCAGCTCCTGGGACACTTGCTGGTGGTGGCCAGCCAGACCGCCAAGGCGGAAGGCCTGTCCGAGGGCTACCGAGTGGGTGAGTAGGAGGCAGGAGCCCTGGTCGGGGACGGGGGGCTGCCTTGCCTGATAGTTCCTGAAGCCCAGTGAAGGGGGGTGGGATAGGCCCTCTGGCCCCGCCCCAAACAGTTCTGCTGGGAAGCCCCACTGTTGTCCTTGTGGGGGGGGGGGGTCTTCCTCCTGCTGCCAAGGGTCCTGGCACTTGTCCGGTGTTGCGCGGTGCTCCCTCCAACCCCTTTCTCCCTCCTCTTGCAGTCATCAACGAGGGCAAGCACGGGGCGCAGTCCGTCTATCATCTCCACCTCCACGTGCTGGGTGGGCGCCAGATGGGCTGGCCGCCCGGCTGAGCAAAGCTGTGCTGTACAGGAGCTGCTCTCAATAAAGGCCTGCGCTGGGTGGGCTGCAGGGAGCCTTGGGGTCTGTGTGGGCCTCTTTCTTCCCAAGGGTTGCCTTGCTGCCCCTGGCTGAGTGTGGCTGATGGGGACTTTGGGCCTTTGATCAGGTCGGGGAGTTGGAAAGTCAGGCAAGGAAACCTCAAATAACACAAAGTGCCCAGGAGCCCAGCTGGCAGTGACACCCCCCCCCCCCCCCCCGCCTTGGGTCTCACAGCTGGGGCCGGATTCTGAAGTCGACACCTGGGGATTGGTGGGTGAGGAAGGGGGTGTCCCTGCTCTGCGGCCAGGATGGTTTATTTATTAATCAGATTTCTAGCCTGGTCAGCACTGGATGACTTGGCATATAAAAACCGTAAAATCAAGAAATAAAACCCAAAAGATGAAGCAGAAGAAGGCCAGCATGTGAATAGAATAGAATAGAATTTTTTATTGGCCAAGTGTGATTGGACACACAAGGAATTTGTCTTGGTGTGTACGCTCTCAGTGCACATAAAAGAAAAGATGTGTTCATCAAGGGCCTGCAGGGCCTGGGAAGTGTTGCCCTTTTAAAGCAGAGTTCCCCAACATTTCTGATTTTGAGGAGGATGGGGGGAGGGGGCATGGTTCCACATGAGCAGCCAGCAAGCACGCAGCTCCATTTGCACGAACTGTGCACACGTGCCTGCCGTTCACTTGAATGGAATGCCCTCTTGCCCGCTGCTCGCACAAGTGAGGATGCGCACGTGCTTGCCAACCATTTCCACGGCCCGGTTGCAAACTCCTCACAGCCCATAGGCTGGGGACCCTTGTATTAAAGAACCTCAAACGGGGGTTGGGGAAGGGGAGCTGGTTTCGGGGGGGCTGCAGTTCCAGAAGACCCTCTTCTTGGGTCCTCTGAGATCACATTATTTCGTCGGTGGGAGAGCAACGTTGTTAGATTGTGAAGGATAGAGACAAGCCAGGGGAGGCCAATGGCTGCTCAGATATCTGGGCTGTGGGCCACGCGGGGGGGGGGACGTGGTTGGAACTCTCGTGATAACCAGCACAGCTCATGATCATGAGTGGCATGTGGGCATTGCCGCCACTGCTCTTGCCACGGCATTCTGGGCCAGCCACAATTTCCAAATAGTCTTGAAGGGCAGCCCTGCATAGAGCACATTATAACAATCCATTTGAAGCTGACCAAGGCATGGGGGACACAACATGGGTCTCCTGGTCCAGGAAAAGCTGCCACTGGCGCACAAGATAAGTGTGCCAAGGGTTCTTGGCCGGGGCTGCCGCCACCTCTTCAAGCAGCAGCTGTGAGCCTGGAAGGACAACCCCACCACCCCAGATTGTGCAGTGGCCCCAAACTACATAATGTCATATTCAGAGCCAAAGAGGAGGGTCCTCAACATTGGGGATGGTCAACACCTTTACTCGGTCTTGCTAGGGTTGCACCTGAGCTTGTCCCCAACCCCCAAAACAAAACCTCTCAACGTCCTGGGATGCCCTTCAACAGCATCACTTGGCTGATCCCGAGTTCAAGATGCCCAGCTGAGACCTGCTGGCTGGCTGCCTTGGTAGAAGAGGAGAGAGAGGGTGAATTTTATAACTGCGCATTTTGTGCCAAGCTCCGGGTGGGCCAGAGTAAGGATGCCTGACCTCGAACGGACAGGTGACCCCGACACAGAGGTCTCATGTAGTAATTAAGGGAAGGCGCTGAGAGCCTCGAGCAAGGCTGCCTCTTGTGGACCTTGGAGAAAGGAGAATCCAATGCCCTCCATCCACTCCCCATTTCTCATTTCATTGATCAAATGTAGCAACCACAAGTTACCCACCAGCGTGAGCAATGCTCCTGCCTGAAAGGGGTCTCCCTAATCCATCCTTTCTGGGGCCCTCTGCAACTAGCCCAACCCCACCGCCACCACTTCTGCAGCCCTCCCCTAGAAGAGGCTGCTGGCTGTAGGGAAGGCTCTCTAATGGGGAATGGGTGCTGTCTTCTTCAGGCCCAGCACATCCCACCCATCGTCACTGCATGGACCTGCTGGCCTTCCAGGTGACCTGAGCCAGCCAGGAGGGAGAGGAATTGGAAGGGCGTGGGAGCCTCCCCAAAAGGCTGCACAGACATGAGACGAGCGGAGAAATAGGTGCGTTTGGGTACAGTCAGCCCCATAAGGTTAACATGGTTTTGCACATATCTGGTTGGACTTGCCATTGCTTTCTCTCCCCCCCAACACACAGAAGGTGCTCTAGGCGCAGGGTGGATAAAAATTGATTTAAAAAAAACAATCAAAATCAGATTTTTAAAAAATTTAATTTTTTTTTATTTTTATCAAATTTATTTTAATAAAATGCTTTTGGAGTAAAAATCTAAAGATAATTTTCTATTTAAGATACATTAATAATTTAGTTTATTCAGCATGAAATGAAGCTTAGTTATGTAGCATGAGGAGGCTGCATATTCTGCAATATTGGGACTGTCAGTGAGTCAAGAGCAGGTCAGAGGAGGAGCCGCTGTGGGACAGAGATGACAATTGCTCTTTAAAAAGTATGATTTAAATCAAATCCACCCTGTTAGGTGTCTCTTCTGCTGCTCCCTCTGAGCCGCTTGGGAAGAGCAGGGAGCCCCCACAGGAACAACCAGCCATGAAAAGCTGCAGGGGAACTGTTCGATCCCGGGCAGGCCCTTCTTGCCTCTCGGTGCCAGGCGGCAATTGCCCACCTTTTAGGTCCTAGGGGAACATCCCAGGTACCCTCTGAAAGCCTTCAGGCTCCTGCCAAGCAACTGGTCCAACAGGAACTGGCACCAGCAACCAAAAAGCCTTGGGCAGGGTTTGGCCGTGTCAAAGCAGAGGTGTTCTTCCAACCATAGATTTCACCACAACCTCCCCGAGAACCAAAGTCAGCCAAGGGGGCGAGCTTGTCTCCCGACCACCCAGGCATGGAATCCGGTACAAGGTGGACCTGGAAGCGGCAACCCAGGCCACCTTCCTTTCCAACAGCAGCAAAGCAGGAGCAGGGCGCTCTGGGTGCCACCAAACCAGGCTTCTCCATGGCTTTTGCCGTAGTTCCTGGGACAATTCTATGGTTCCTGGCAAATGCATACCCGGGAGGGGAAAGCTGCATTGGGGCATCTCCCTTCCCCCCCCCCCCCAGGGATGAAGGCAGAGGCAGTCCTGAGGCCCCCGACGTGTGTCTGTGAGGAGTTGAAGGGAAGGCTTTCCCATACCTGGGGCTCTGCAGGAGAAAGCCAGGTATGTGATGGTGCACACCTGTGCCTCTGTCTGAGGAGCTTGCAGTGGATGGGCAGACCTTTAGATATTACAGGCCTGATCTTTGCAGCCCCACCTTTTGATCCAGTGAACCCAATTAGGGCCCCCCAAGAACTGCTTCGGCCTCATCCAAAGCTTGCGTCCCAGCAGCCCTGGGTACTTTTGGTGCCAAGTCCCACTGAGCAGAGCAACTGTGCCCAACAGCGCCTACCGGTTGGGAACTCTTTCCACCTAAGAACCACTGCACATTCTCAGTGCCCCTCCCCTGTTGGATCACAAGGTCCCGGAGAGCTGCAGGAAGCAACCCAAGGACTGATCGGTTGGAAGAGGGCACGGCACCTGAGAGGTTGGCACCAGAGTCCAAATTCATGGGGAGATCTGGGCTACGCTGACCTGACATTCTGTACTAATGCAGAAGTTGAAAGCAGAAGCCAGTCAGAGAAGTGAGTGAGGGCCAGTGTTTCTTAGGGGAACTAAAGCATTGGCATCCGTTGTCCCCAAAAGGTTCCCCCCCCAACATTGTGGCCAGCCAAAGATTTGTGCCAGCAAACTCTCCCAATGGATGTCCCTGGATAATGTTCAGGTGCAAGAGAGTACAGGGCTCAGCACCTGCTGGCTACAACACTCTTAAACCAGATTCAGTAAAAATTTAGCCTCAAAATGAAAGCACGTTTCTTCTTTGTACAGGTAGTCCTCACTTAATGACCACTCATTCAATGACTATTTTAAGTTACAGTGGCACTGAATGAACGGTACTTGTGAAGGTCTTTGTAGTTGTAGCTGTTGTAGCACAGCTGGGTGCTGGGTGACTGATAATCGCACAGTCCCTGGAGCATAACAGGCGGCCTTTCCTGCCAGCTTCCCACAAGGCAGGGCCAATGGGTAACCGCCAAGAAGTTGTGTGACATCCTTAACTGCTGGGGCTGCTGCTGAGGTCATGTGTCATCTTAATGACTGCTAGTCACCTCCCGTCTTGACTATGTAATGCTCTCTACCAGGGGCTGCCCTTGAGGACCACTCAGAGGCTTCAGCTGGTGCAGAATGCGGCCGCGCGGGTTGTGATGCTCCCATGTTACACCTCTCCTGCGTGGCTTACGCCCAGGATACTTGTCAGACCATCTCCAGCCAGCAACGGCTTCCCATCGCCCGGTGCGTTCTCACAGGGAGGGCCTTTTCCGGATGCCGTCGGCTAGACAATGTTGGCTGGCAGCCCCCAGGGGTAGAGCTTTCTCTGTGGGCGTGCCCACTCTTTGGAATCAACTCCCCCTGGGGCTTCGGTTGGCTCCTGACCTTCGCACCTTCCGCTGCGAATTAAAAACATGGCTGTTCACATCGCCCAGCCTGGACTGAGGAGTTTTTTGATTATTTTAATGGGTTTTAATATATGTTTAAATTATATATTTATACATTTATGTATTTTATTTATGCATATTTATGTATTTTATGTTTTATTGGGTTTGTTTTTATCTGTGAGCTGCCCTGAGTCCTACGGAGATAGGGCGGCATACAAATTATATTTAAATAAATAAATAAATAAATTTAGCTATATAGATTCTGGTCCCAGTTAGCGTTGTTAAGTGAGGACTACCTTTAGATAACAGAACATATTTTTTAAAAAGTCCCATAATGTATCAAGGTATGTGCTCACGGCTGGCAGCACGAATTTTGCACAACTTTGGAGAAAAGACACAATGTCGGATTGGAGACTGCAACAATGGCAAAAGGTATTTCTATATACAATACAAAATTTATCAGAATTTAAGCAAGAATGGCAATGCAGATACAAACAATGTGGTTTTCTAAAGTTTATTATATTAAAAAAGAATAATTTATATGCTGCCTGACCCAGTATGAAAGCTACAAAAACAACAATAGAACAGTGGCAAAGAAGGTGAACCCAGAGGGAGGCAGGCAGGAAGAGGAGGGGGGCTTTGGTGGTCCTTGGGTCTGGGTGCCCTTCAAAATCCCAGGAGTGTGTGCGCTGTTCAAATTATGGGGAGAGCTCTCTCCGGAGGGCAGGTGCTTCTGGGCTCCCCACAGTGGCACTGTTGACTCCATGGCACTCCCTTGTGCCTCATGTGCCAGCTCTCCACTGGCACGTGGGGCACAAGGGAGGGCAGACACTCAACACTTCTCTATACTATTTGGGTG